TAACTGTCTTACCTTGCAGATACTTTCCCTTGCTCTTCCCTTTTCCTCCTCTGCAGCTCCTCAGCTCTCTCCTCCTCTTCCTCCTCCAGATTCAGTCTCTCCAGGACCAGCAGCTCTCTCTCCTGCAGCTTCTGTCGGGCTTCAGCGAGCTGCCGGACTCTCTCCAACTTTCTCTCCTCCTCCACACGAACCTGTTCTTTCTCTGCTTTAATACTTCAGGGAAGACAGGGACATTGATGAGTCTAATGCTATAGAATCACATGATGAGATTAGAGCATTCAGCCGCATTTGTGCTAAATAAGGGAATACTGCCGTGTTTATAATGTCATGTATGTTATTGTCCTACTGCCGTGTTATTAATGTCATGTATGCTTTTGCACACTGGGGCAGGGTTGCACTCTGAAATCTCATTATATTTTTTGTACAATGACAATAAAAGGCTTTAACTTTTTAACTTCTCAAATTGTTGCACATAATAAATCGAAGTTTAACTATTCAAGCAGCAGAGTAATAATCAATATTGAGACTAAAAGATTTATCGGTTATTCTAGAAAAAGAAAATCACATTAATCAATTATGAAAATAATTGTTATTTGCAGCCCTAACAATCAATTACTTAAACTCGGAGCTGATGTTTTAAAAAATAAAAACATTTCAGGCTTTCGTTCAAAGCAACAGATTGTTTGGTACTCGGAAGACAGATTGTGGGCGAAGAATCCCTTTAACCACACAAATAACAGGAAGTGATGCAGGAGAAATGAGTGCAGTCTCGTCACCTGGCTGTCCTCTTCAGGTGTTTCCTGTTCTGTTTATTCTCCTTCACTTGCTCTCTCTCAATGTTCATGTACTGACGGCGGTGCATCAGGAACTGAGACTGACGCTGCAGAGGGAGAGAGACGTGCTATCTGAACAATGTGGTCTGACAGGACAGAGGTTAAACACCTTAAGTCGAAGCTCATTGCGTTGTCTACCTGTTTCTTCAGTTCTTCCTGGTCAGGTAGAGGCCAGAGGGCCTGAGAGACTCTGAGGTCTGACTTTGAACCAGGATCAGGCTGTGATAGATCCGAATCCCACATCCTAGGTCTGCTCACCTGAGACATAAACACAGAACAGAGAGATAAAGAGACAGATAACAACATATTTATTATACACCTTCTCCGAGAACATATCGAGGATTAAAAGACTAATGTCACAGCAGGATTTGAAAAAACGTGTCCAGGCTTTTATCTTCAGTAGACTGGACTACTGTAATGGTGTCTTCACAGGTCTCACAAAAAAATCCATCAGAAAGCTGCAGCTGATTCAGAACGCCTCTGCTTGAGTCCTCACTGACACTAAGAGAGTGGATCACATCACTCCTGTTCTGAAGTCTTTACACTGGCTTCCTGTGTGTCAAATAATAGATTTTAAAATACTACTGCTGGTTTTTAAAAGCACTAAATGGTTTAGGACCAAATTATATTAACGATCTCCTGCAAAAGTATGAACCATCCAGGAGTCTCAGGTCTTCTGGGACGGGTCTGCTCTCTGCTGCAAGAGTCAGAACTAAACATGGAGAAGCAGCGTTTAGTGTTTATGCCCCAACCATCTGGAACTGCCTGAATCCTGCAGGTCAGCTGCAACTGTTGATACTTTTAAATCCAGATGAAAAACGTATCTTTTTGACGCTGCACTTGGATGAGTTGTTCAACTTCAAACTGCAGTATGGCTTTTTATCCATGTATTTTATACCTGCTGGGTTGATTATCTTTGCTTTTTAAATGCCTGTTTTTAAATGCCTTTTTATAATGTGCTTCCACTGTATTTGTTCTTAAAATGTCTTTTATCTTATCAAAAAATCTTGTCAACATTTTTTTAACAAGATAAGTCTGGTGATATCGAGTTCTTTTCTTTTTTTGTGGACCTTTTCTTACCTGTAGAGGAAGGAAACTCCTTT